TACAGCCACACCTACGCCCACCGCAGCCTCAGCGTGGGAGTGAGGACCTTTGCGTGTATGTGTGTGCTCAGTGCTCTGGGTGGGTGAGTCAGGGCAGGGGGCATCTGTGTTTTGACCCCATGTGTGCCGGACTGAGGGTTGGGGTCCCTCCTGCAGCCTGAGCCTGGGCAGAGGAATGAGGGTCCTCGTGCAGCAACAGTTCCAGGAGCGGTTGCCAGGCTGGGGGAGGTGGCAGCTGTGCCCCTCCTACTCTTTGTTGGCAGAAGTGGCAGCTGCCAACCCAAGGAACTGGAGAAGTAGGGAGAGAGGAGCTGGGCCCTGAGACACCCTCCCAGCATTGGGTCTCTCCCACCCCACTCCCTGTGTCCCTGTCCCACTGTCCGCCCCCTCCACAGGTTCACGGAGGCTGAAGTGATGGTGATGGGTGACGTGACCTATGGGGCTTGCTGTGTGGATGACTTCACGGCGAGGGCCCTGGGAGCTGACTTCTTGGTGCACTACGGCCACAGTTGCCTGGGTATGGCGGGGCCAGGACACCTGGACGGTGGCGGGGCTGGCAGGGGGGCAGGCTGCACACTCATCTTCCCCACGGCAGTGGTTTCTTGTCCTGCTTGGAGACACGAGGTCCCTCCTGGTTTCTGGGGTGGCCTCTGCCTGCCTGCTCTGCAGGTACATCTTTCCTTTGGATTTGGTTGCCTTGGCAACTGTGCTGTGTCCCAGATGCGGGTGTTTGAAAGACTGCTGGTCGTAGAGCAGGCCAGGCCCTGGCCGGGTGACAGAGAAGTCCGATTGAGAAGGCGCTTCTAGGGGACCCGTGACCCCCTCTTCTCCTACCCTGCCCTTTTACCCCCAGGCTGAAGCCACTGGGCCTGGTTGCTCAGAGACCTGAGCCTGGGCCGGGCCCTCTGCTGCTCCTGCCTCCCAAACAGCCCCTGAACTCCTCCCTCCCGCAGTTCCCATGGACACCTCGGCCCAAGACTTCCGGGTGCTGTACGTCTTTGTGGACATCCGGATAGACACTACCCACCTCCTGGACTCTCTCCGCCTCACCTTTCCCCCAGCCACTGCCCTTGCCCTGGTCAGCACCATTCAGTTTGTGTCGACCTTGCAGGTGAGTGGAACGAGGATCCTCGGCCTCCCGCAGGGTGGACAGCAGCCGCCCTCTGGCTGTTGCTGGATCCCAGGTGCTCCAGGCTGTTTCTCAGCCCTGGCTCTCCTGCCCCAGCCACTGGCTTCCCTTCCCTCGTCATTCCTACAGGCAGCCGCCCAGGAGCTGAAAGCTGAGTACCGTGTGAGTGTCCCACAGTGCAAGCCCCTGTCCCCTGGAGAGATTCTGGGCTGCACATCCCCCCGACTGCCCGAAGAGGTGGAGGCCGTTGTGTAAGTTAAAAATGGGGGCCAAGTATGTCCTAGAGACATGAGTGTATCCTGGGAGGGAGACTGAGGTTCATCATCCAGGAAAGAAACCAAATTTAATGTTCCTTGCGTTCCCAAGGTCACACTGCAAGGTGGGGACCAAACAGGGACCAGACTTCAGGTTTACTGTCGCTTTCTCCATTGCCCAGTCCACCACCCAGAAGGCTGTGCAGGGTGGGGGCAGGAGTCAGAGGGGCTGATGCGAGGGATGAGGGTGGGCTGGAAATGGTGGGAATATAATTGGAGAAGATGGATGGGCACGCCCAGGCTGCAGCCCCATTAATTTACCATCCGGACAGCTAACAAGCAGAAGCAGTGTGTCTCCTGCCGCCTAATTATTTTAGGTAATGGAAATGCTTAATGTTGTGTGAATGCAGCCAGCCTGAGAGCCGACAGCTCCCCCGGCTGGGACCAGGGAAGGGAGCCCCGTTCTTTACTAATGTCTGGGAGGGAGGGGCACTCCCTGGCTCAGTCCCACCTCTGGGACTTCAGAGGCTGTTCCCACAGGCCTGACACCCCTGCCCCTAGACAGGTCCACATCAGGGCCTTCCCCAGCCCAGACCTGGCAGCCCTGCTCCCTGAGCTGCATTCCCCTTGTGCCCGCACCACTCGGTTTCTACCCTTGGGGGCTTCAAAGTGTATGTTGGAGGGAGGAACACCCTGAGTGTTAGCCATTCATCAGAATGAAGTGTGGTCTCCAAGAGGGAGGGAAGGAGCTGCCACAGGCAGGTTATCTTCCACACTCTGGAGTCTGCAGGGCTGGGAAGCTACTGTCAGGGACAGCATGTCTGCGGGCACACTTGGTACAGCCTGGGGTTGAGCTTCAGATACACTGCTTCCTAGCTGTTTAATATTAGGCAAGTTTCTTAACATCCCTGAGCCTCAGTTGTATCTTCTGTAAAATAGGTATACTATACGTATCTTGGAGGATGAGTAGATAGGACTGCGAGAACTAATTCACTTCAGGTACTTAGTCTGTGCCTGGTACATAGAAGGCACAAGTCCAATAAACAGTAGCTGTTGGCCGGGCGCGGTGGCTCACGCCTGTAATCCCAACGCTTTGGGAGGCCAAGGCAGGAGAATTGCATATGTCCAGGAGTCTGAGACCAGCCTGGGCAACATAATGAAACCCTGTTCTCTCCAAAAAAAAAAGAGAAAGCAAAAGGAAAGAAGAAAAATTGGCTGGGTATGGTGTCCATGCCTGTAGTCCCAGCTCCTCAGGAGGCTTAGGTGAGAGGATCGCTTGAGCCTGGGAGGTCGAGGCTGCAGTGAGCCGTGATTGAATCACTCAGCCTGGATGACAGAGTAAGACCCTGTCTGAAAAAAACAACAACAACAAAATGAAAATGAGGTAGCTATTGTTGTAACTCAGTAACTGGGCCCAAGAGCTAGTTTGGGCAGAAAGTAGCCGTTTTATGCCCTGCGACCTCATGTACAGCATCGATCAGAGGTCCCCAACCCTGGTCCCATGGCCTGTTAGGAACCCTGCCGCACAGTGGAAGGTGAGGGGTGGGCCAGCCAGCATGACCACCTGAGCGCCACTCCTGTCAGATCCACCGCGGCATGAGATTCTCGTAGCTCAAACCCTGCCGTGACCTGTGTATGTGAGGGATCTAGGCTGCATGATCCTTCTGAGATTCTAATGCCTGATGATCTGAGGTGGGACAGTTTCATCCTGAAACCATCCCCCACTCCCACCCGTGTCTGTGAAAAACTGTCTTCCACAGTGCCAGAAATGTTGGTTACTTGAACACTACTGTCCACATCTGTATGGAGCTTGTAAAGGAGAATCTGTTCCCCAACTTCCAAATGAGGATCTCTAGAACCCCAGGTGGCCTCACCATGGCCGGGCTGCTCCTTCACTCTTCCCCAGAAGCTTGGGGTGGGACAGTTCTTAGATTCTGCATTATGTAAACAGAGTCATCCAGTTCAAACTCCTTATCTCACATGTGAGAAAACCAAGGCTCCAAGAGGTGAAATGATGGCTTGTCCCAGTTCACGCAGAGTCACAGCACAGCCAGCCGGGAACTCAGTCCTCTGGACTTTTTTTTTTTTGAGACAGAGTCTCGCTCTGTTCCCCAGGCTGGAGTGCAGTGGTGCGATCTCGGCTCACTGCAGCCTCCGCCTCCTGGGTTCAAGTGATTCTTCTGCCTCAGCCTCCCCAGTAGCTGGGACTACAGATGTGTGCCACCATGCCCAGCTAAGTTTTTTGTATTTTTAGTAGAGACGGGGTTTCACCTTGCTAGCCAGGATGGTCTTGATCTCCTGACCTCATGATCCGTCCACCTCGGCCTCCCAAAGTGCTGGGATTACAGGCGTGCGCCACCGTGCCCCGCCAGCCCTGTGGACTTCTAAGCCAGCGCGTGCCTCTTCTGCTGCCCCAAACCACACTCACAGCCTCCTTTCCACCCCTGCAGGTATCTTGGAGATGGCCGCTTCCATCTGGAGTCTGTCATGATTGCCAACCCCAATGTCCCTGCTTACCGGTATGAGCTGGGCCGGGCTGGGCTGACCAGCTGGTGTGGGGTGAGACCCCCGCCACCGAGGCCCTTAGTGGGTTGCATCCCCATTTCCTGGCCACTGAGCCACCAGCCCTAAGGGTCTCCGGCACTCGGGCCCTGGATCTGGGCATTAGCTCCAGGGCTGCTGTTGCCTACCCGTCTCCTGGGGTTTCCACTGAGATCCTAAAGCCACCGTCTCTTGTGTCTGCTCCAGCTGTGGGACAGGTCTTCCTAATGACAATCCCCACTATTGCCTCTGTTCCTAATTACCTGCGTGGGGCCTAAAGGTTCAAGAGCCCACGGGGCTGAGTCAGGAGCTGTGTGCACAGTCGTAGTCCCCACAGTGGCTGCACTGTGACCCTGACTGCTGCTTTTCCAGGTATGACCCGTACAGCAAAGTCCTGTCCAGAGAGCACTATGACCACCAGCGCATGCAGGCTGCTCGCCAGGAAGCCATAGCCACCGCCCGCTCCGCTAAGTCCTGGGGCCTTATTCTGGGCACTCTGGGCCGCCAGGGCAGTCCTAAGATCCTGGAGGTCAGTGGGCTCAGGACAGCCTCTGGAGGAGGGCAGTGGCTGGGAACACAGCTGGGAAAACCTGTAGGCCACAGGTTCACCTTTGGCTGCTTGACCAGGTGACCCCCACCCTGTCTCCCTCTCCCAACAGCACCTGGAATCTCGACTCCGAGCCTTGGGCCTTTCCTTCGTGAGGCTGCTGCTCTCTGAGATCTTCCCCAGCAAGCTTGGCCTACTTCCCGAGGTGGATGTGTGAGTTCCCCCACCTTACCTGCTTGGCTATGATCGGCTAAAGAGGCTTAGAAGCCGGGTCTTGCCCATCTCGTCTTAAAGGCTGGAGCCAACAGGAATTGCTTCCATGGCCATGGAATTTTAATGTTTACAGAGACCTCCCTGGGAGGGCTAACTGGGTCATCCCTGCTTTGGGACTCTGGGGCTCAGAGGCAATGGCACCATCACATTTGTCCTTGTGAGATGCGTTTGAGTGGTGGCTGACACCTGCCCTGTACCAGGTACTAAATTTGGTTCTGGGGGTACTATCACCAGTGAGCTGCCCTGGAAAGCTCATTGTCGGCAGAGGAAACAGGAGAAAACACGCAACAACACGGTATTCCAAACAGCAGTGGGTCACTGTCTTTACTTTAGGATTCATAAAGCCTGTTAATGAATGGGTGTGCTGGGGCGCTGTCATGGCCTTCAGCATGCTGCTGGCAGAGGAGGCCCTTCCTAGGGTCTGACCTGGCTTCCCTTTCCAGGTGGGTGCAGGTGGCATGTCCACGCCTCTCCATTGACTGGGGCACAGCCTTCCCCAAGCCGCTGCTGACACCCTATGAGGTAACACCGAGCTCTGGGAGACAGCGGGCTTTAGACGTGGTTCTCAAAGGCGAGGTCTGCAGTGGAGTGGTGTGGGTGGGCAGCATTTCGCTATGTTCATAGATTCCGGGGTCTGACTGTCTCGATTTCTCCAACGGAGTCACCTCCTAGCTGTGTAGCCTTAGGCAAGGCCCTGAACCTCTCTGAACCACACATTTCCCTTCTGTGGTGGGGGACAGTGTGCCCTTCACAGGCCGTGGTGAGGACTGAATTCAGTAATCCAGCAGAAAAACACTGGCGAATGCTATTGTCCGCTCCCCTCCCCTAGGCGGCCGTGGCTCTGAGGGACATTTCCTGGCAGCAGCCCTACCCGATGGACTTCTACGCTGGCAGCTCCTTGGGGCCCTGGACGGTGAACCACGGCCTGGACCGGCGTCCCCAGACCCCGGGCCGACCCGCGCGGGGGAAGGTAGGCGGGGGCTGCCTGGAGGGAGGAGAGACCGCGCCTGGGCACTGGCCGCCTCCCTGGCGACACGAGCCGAGGCCGCCGCCCTGCGACCGCGACGGGAAATGCAGGGTCGCAGAAACGAGACCCTGACCAAAGTCTGCAACCTCAGGTGCAGGAGCGGTCCACGCATCCCCCTTCAGCCGTGGCTTGCGAGGACTGCAGCTGCAGAGACAAGAAGGTGGCGCCGCTTGCT